TATATATATATATATATGTATATATATATATATATGTATGTATATATGTTAACGGCCACCTACATTAGTGTTGCACAGCGGAAGAAGGAAACCAGTCATGGTGGCGACCGCGTCCTCTGTGAATTCCTTCCATTTCTCTGCTTCGGCTCGACGGCCACCGATCAATCCGCCATCGTTAAACCTCGCTCGACTATCGTCCACCTTCTCCTCTTTCACCCAGGTAACCGCCAGCAAACGGCCATGAAGTTAATTAAGGATTTCAGGGCAATCTTTATATGAATGTTAAATTGTATGTAGCCACTTATCGGGGAGCTCCGACAAGCTCCGGCGAGCGTCGGTGTTGCCAGGCTGATCGAGAAAGCTTCTGGGAGATTGCTGGATGCATTTGTAGACTTCGCTTTCCAATTTGCAGATCAGCCATGGCTCCCTTCGCAGGTCTTCTTTTTGTTTTTATACGTTTAACAACATATGAAGCAGATTAGATGCTTATTCAAACAACAGCTGTAGCTGTTATCTTAAGTCAACAATTTTGAAGTATATTCTAATAAAACATGTTCAAAATATTATCATTAGGTCTGTCAAAAAAGCTCGTTGTTGGTGAACGATAGTCTTTGACTCATTAAGAAGCTCATATTCGATTTACTCGCTAAGTTGACGAGCCGAACATAAACAATTTTTTTTGCGCTCGATATATAAACGAGCCAAACATGAAAAAAGATTTATTCATTTTTGTTCGACACATTTTTTTTGCTCGAAGTAATTAAATTAATATATATATATATATATATATATAAATGATCTTTTCAGCGATACAAACTAAAATTTTATCTAATAAACACTTTTTTTTGTTCTTGTTCCTGCTAGATTTTAGCGCACTTATGTTTTTCCTGTTGTCTGTAGAAAAAATATCAGGACATAAGCTAATTTTTGCTTTTAAAGATGGTTGGAATCTCACACTTAATGATTAAAGGGCACCACAGGGTGGCATCATAGACTTTGACATGGACTTTGATCAAGTTGATTTAGACTATGAGGGTCCCCTGATGAACGTGGTCAACCGTCAAGAAAAAGAAGCGCTGCCACCACTATTAAAGATTAGCACCAAGGAGGATTCCTAAGTGAAGGGTAAGAAAGTGATAGTGCAGCAAGATCCGATGGAGGGGACTAGTCGCCTACCATCTATGATAATTGCATCGACTGGGGGCTTAGTTGCTGCTAATGATAAGATACTGTCAGATGCAACGTTACGAAGGATGCAAAGCAGAAATGCTAATCGCCAAAAACATAGATCTTTCCTGCGTGAAGAAAGAAGACACTAGAAGAAGGCAGAAAACTTACTTACCCTAATTCCTGAGGGGAAAATCTACGATCCATGCATGAGAGAGACTTCCTCCATCTTGCCTGCCATAGAGGATGTGTCTGAGTTCACTACAAAGTCGATGATACCAGAGGTTTCAGATAGTCTTTGTGTGGGTTGCCTGGCATGCAACACTAAGATTCCCACATGGAGACCAACTATAGAGGCATTTGTGGAATGCCCGGACTGCAACATCCTCCACCTAGAGCGTTACAGAACTCTGGAGGAGTACACGTCCACTGATGATGGATTTCAAATCACCGATCACTTAATGGGGGAATCATATATTATGCTGGACAGACAAATCTGCTTAAGCAAATCAATATGGCAAATGAAGTGACAAACAAGCTACTACAGTTGAAGGCTTTTTTGGCGGAGGAAATATTATGTTAGGACACCGTAGGCATGAATTGGTGGTATTCTGATAGTATTGTGGTTATATTGTGGAACGATATCATCACAAATGCTAACTAAATACTATTGTATGAGTGTATAATAGTATTGTGGTTATATTCTGGTAGTATTTTGGTGATATTGTGGTGTTATTTCTGTACAATACATCCACAATATCACCAGGATACTATCAATCTGAGCCTAATCCACACTCATCTCTTCCACACATAATATTTTCTCTTTTTTAGTGAAAGGCCAAGAACTCAAAGTTTCCAAATTTGACTAGAAAGAATAGAGACAACTGAGGTATAATCAGATCAATAATGCAATTTCTTTTCTTATTTGAGATCATTTTATTTTTAAAAAATAACATATTTATATAATGTATTTCTAATATATTCTTTATCAAAAAAATATATTTGCATATTTTTATAAATATTTAAGATATTTTTAAATGCTTCCAGTCTTTTTAAATTTAATTGTTATCCTCAAACATATTATTTCAAAACAAAGTATAGACAAATATATATA